CACAGCCGCCTGAACAAAATGGTCGAATGAGGGGCCGTGTGAGACCAATGTGGTCTCCAAAATTTAAGCGCCATTTTCAACCTTCCAAAAATTCCGGCGCATCAAAAATAAAAGTAAATATCAACAGTATGTTAGTATCTAATGTTTTAGGCAAAAATAATGTATCGGCCTCTGGAACCGATATTTTTCGATACATGGTGGCACTCAACCTGTTAAGGAATATATGGTTAATGGATTGACCTCCTTTAAGCGGACACCCTGTATTTTGGAGTCAAATTGATAGATGAAAATCTCAAGATGGCGACTGGGCTCCATCTGGGGGAAAATAAACAGAAAGGCGGGGTCTTGTGATACATCTTCTTAAAGCTCCTAACGGATACTTTACAACCCTAGAATATAAAGTCAATATCTTCACCTACTACGAAATGGCGGAACATTCAATAATTGCCTGAATACATCGACGTTTACTCGTTACCACCGAACAGTTTACTACATAATTTGAGGAAATAAGCTGAGTTCAGTTTAGAAGATGCTCGAAATGGTTGCCATGGACTTCTTGATGATTGTTGGGAAATACAAAACAATTTGAATATCAGTGATTGGTGCAATTTAAATAGATTACAATTGAATGCGACAAAATGTAAAACTGTATCATATAATCGAAAACAGAATGTGGATGCATGTAAGAATTTCGGTTTATGGCTAGATACTGACATGAGATTCACTAAGCACGTCAACCATTTATGCCAATCCTCCTTCAATGTATTGAGACAACTTTATCCGAGTAGAAATATTTTATCGAAAAGAACTAAATTAAATCTTTGCGAATCCCTCATTTTTTCTAGATTGGCTTACTGTGATTGTATCTACGGACCTGCTCTTCTACAAACTGATTCTACACGTGTGCAAAGAATTCAAAATAGCTGTGTTCGTTTTTCATATGGTATCCGCAAATATGAACACATTAGTGATGCCTTTCATGACTCTGGATGGCTGAAACTGAAACACACGAGGGAAATACACCTACTCACTTTCACCCACAAAATTTTGACATCTGGTTCACCGCCATATTTACGTAATAAACTTTCTAAACTATCACTTAAAAAGTCTTCGCGCAACAAGCATTTGCTACTTATTCCTAGACATACCAAGTCAATTTTCACCCGAAGCTTTTCCTATAATGCTGCTAAGCTTTACAATACCATCCCTGTTGAATTCAAGGAATTCACTTTAAATAATTTTGAGAAACGACTGAAATTGTTTTTCTCTGGGCGGCAGTAGTTTTTTCTATTTTATGACGGCGTGATTTTTGATCTGGTTGTAACTATCTTATTCAGTGCATTAAACTGTACTGTCCACTTATACATTTATACTAATTTTCTGGTAATTATTCCGATAACCTATGTACAATTCTCAATCATAAATTCATTTTGAAAATTCTGTAATTTAGTTTCTTATTAATTATATTTAGGTATATCATTCTACCGGTTGGGTTTAAAAGCAGCTTCTTAGCTGAACCCCGCCCTTTCATCTATTTGTTTCTTTCTCTACCAGTTGTGAAATGATGATGATGAATAAAGACATATTATTATTATTATTATTATTATTATTATTATTATTAATCCAGTTCTACAGGGTGTCCTTAAAAGGTCTTTACAAAAAGCTACCACATATTCTTCAGACCAAAACAATTCGATACAAGCAAACTTACCTCAGTAAAAAGTTGCTTAGTTTGGGCGCTAGACGGCTCTGAAGTTGAAATTTTCAAATCGATTTTGCTTCATAACTTTTGAACGGCTCATGAGATTTTTTTCAAATTTGGTACGTTGGCATAGACTCATCGGGCAATGAAACTCATATCATAATCATAATGAATATCATTCCATGGGCGTAGAACTTGATTTTTTCAGGAAATAAACATCTAAAACTCCTACGCCAATGGAAAAAAATTAGTTTCAATATGAAATCTAAATTATTCAACTCATTCACTACAAAAAAGGTACTCTTGACAAAAGTCGATTCCTCTCATGGTTTCGACAAAATTTTAATTTTAGTGATTTAGAGCATAATTAATAATAAAACGATTAACAGTTTTTTCATAAAAATTGTTCAAAATGTTCACCATTTTCACGTATACAAAGATTTATACGACGCAAAAAGTTGAAATGTACTCTTTGCATAACTTCTTCATCGCCTGTAAGATTATTCGTCGCCTGTTGGATACGTTGCCATAATTGTTCTACAGTATTCACAGGGGTCTTGTAAACCGTAGACTTGAGATAACCCCATACAAAATAATCCATCGGTGTTAAGTCTGGAGAACGTGGTGGCCAATTCACGGGTGCATCATTACCTCTACCTATCCATCTGTCTGGGTACTGTTGGTTTAAAAAATTCCTAACATCCACCGAAAAATGTGGTGGAGCTCCATCGTGCATAAACCACATATCTACCCGATGTTGGAGTGGTAAATCTTCCAACAAATTTGGCAACGTATTTCGTAGATGTTGTAAATACATGTCTCCTGTTAATCTTTGTGGAAGTATGACAGGACCAATTATAAAATTTCCTATTATTCCAGCCCAAACGTTGATTTTGAATTCGTGTTGAAAATGGTTTATTTTAATGGAATGAGGATTTTCAATTGCATAAACGTGTTCATTATGAAAATTAGTTATTCCTCTTCTCGTGAAACAGGCTTCATCAGTGAACAAAATATTCTTTCCAAAGTTCAGATTCATTTCTCTTTGCAAATTAATGAACCTACAAAACATCAGACGACTTTGTGAATCATGGATTAATAAATTTTGAACTGGCGTCTTGTGGTATGGGTATAATAATTGTTCTCTTAGTACTTCATGAACGGCATTCCTAGAAACTTCTAGTTCAATACTTATCCGTCTAGTACTCAATTCTGGATTTTCTTCAATACGGTCTAAAATTTCTACTTCGACTTCGGGAATCCTTACATAACGCTGTCTTCCATAATCACCAGTTCTAGGAGCAAAATGACCGGTCTCCCGAAGACGTCTCTCAACTGCAGCAAAGGTTGGGTGGCTTGGTACGCGACGATTTGGAAACCTTGCCGAATACACCCTCACACTCTCTCGACCATTTCCTTGACAATATATCCGAATACCAATAACATATCGGTGTATTCTTCATTGGTGTATTGTACGGCCATGATAAATCAGAAAAGTCCGATATCAACAATCAACGTCAATAAAACTCGACAAATCAACACAGATGAAACTATGGAAACCAAGAATGTGAATATCACTGTTTTCGAGCAGATAATAATAGTCTTCAGAAAAAAAAACCAGTGCTACTTATTTTCAATAGAAATAACCTATGCAAAAAGTACATCTCAACTTTTTGCGTTGTATAAATCTTTGTATACGTGAAAATGGTGAACATTTTGAACAATTTTTATGAAATATCTGTTAATCGTTTTATTATTGATTATGCTCTTAATCACTGAAATTAAAATTTTGTCGAAACCATTCGACCATTTGTCAAGAGTATCTTTTTTGTAGTGAATGAGTTGAACAATCTAGATTTCATATTGAAACTAACTTTTTCCATTGGCGTAGGAGTTTTAGATGTTTATTTACTGAAAAAAGCAAGTTCTACGCCCATGGAATGATATTCATTATGATTAGGATTTCAACTTTTTGCGTCGTATAAATCTTTGTTCACGCGAAAATAGTGAACATTTTGGAAAACTTTCATGCAATATCTATCAATCGTTTTATTATTTAAATATGCGCGAAATCACTAAAACTTAAATATTGTCGAAACCATCAGAGTAATCGAATTTTATCAAGAGTACCTTTTTTGTAGTGAATGATTTGGGCTATCTAGATGTCATACTGAAACTGATTTTTTTTCATTGGCGTAGAAGTTTTAGATGTTTATTTCCTGAAAAAATCAAGTTCTACGCCCATGGAATGATATTCATTATGATTATGATATGAGTTTCATTGCCCGATGAGTCTATGCCAACGTACCAAATTTGAAAAAAATCTCATGAGCCGTTCCAAAGTTATGAAGCAAAATCGATTTAAAAATTTCAACTTCAGAGCCGTCTAGCGTCCAAACTAAGCAACTTTTTACTGAGGTAAGTTTGCTTGTATCGAATTGTTTTGGTCTGAAGAATATGTGGTAGCTTTTTGTAAAGACCTTTCAAGGACACCCTGTATATCACTATGTAATAAATGATATAGCAATAGTTCATGAGAATTCTACTATAGGGACTTAGGAATCATATTTGATAGTAATTTAAGTTTTATCGAGCACATAGACAATAAAACTAATGAGGCTCTTGAAATGTTTGGATTCATAATCAGAAGCTGTAGATCATTTACGGATATGCATGTAATGAAAAAATTATAGGTACTATTCTTTTGTAAGATCGAAGCTTGCATACGGATCAATGATTTGGAATCCACACTACCAGGTTCATAGTGATAAAGTAGAGAAAGTACAGAGAAAATTCTTGACATTTCTAATATACAAAACTACTGGTGTTTATCCACCTAAGGGACAAAATTATCGATGACGTCACCACTCCGTTTGTATATCAAGAGGTGTCAAATTTGAAAATAAACATCGACCTGTCTCAGGATTTTTTTTCAAATTCCTATGCGTTAGATATAATGAATTTATTCCATACATTTCCACCATACTGCATACATAGAGTTACTCTACCAATCAGAAATTCAGAATTATTGGCATTTCCATAGTACTTAACTTATTCATATTGTTATTGAGAATTTTTATTAATTTTCATGTTTTATTTTATTGACAATTTTTATCAAGTTCAATGTTATATCCATATTTTATTTTGTTGAGAATTTTGTTCAGTTTTATATTCATATTTCAAATGTGGGACGATAGGGCTATTGGCGAACACCCACTAAGAACAAGTAACGAGCCATGGTAATACCTCATGGGTGGTTTGTAAACTTACCAATATTCGATACTCTCATGTTCCAAAATGGATACATAGGTAATTTTTGAACAATCAAAAATTCATTCAAAAACAGCTTTTATTTGTGGTAGCGAAGAAAATATTTTACCCGCCGCTGTTAGCTGCGGCTAGTCAAAGGATTTGCCGACATGCAGCCGGTTAAAATTTTTTTAGCTTCTTCAATTAACTTCGCATAAACTATAACTATATCATATCATCAGTCTTCGTCTTCTTCCTCCTCTTCTTCTTCCCCCGCTTCTTCGGGTTCGGCTTCCTCTCCCGCCAATACGACCTCTTTCGGTTTGGGCAGGTGGTCGATGCGCCACTTTTCCTCATCGGCTCCGCTCGGGTCCGTCATCTCGAGAATCTCCGGCCCGATGGGGTACTCCTGTTGGACGGGCGGCAGGGGCAGGGGGCTGAAGTTGTGCTCCATGTACTTGAGGCCGTAGCCGAGGTAGATGTTCTGGAAGATTTTACCTGGAACAACAATAGTTAATTATACATCACTAGCTATAGAACCCATCATTATTTACTCCCTTTGAAGGCGTAAAGTGTGTTTTTACTACCAAGGTAGTTTTCGTCCGTCATATTATTAACCACTAGTCAATAAAGACATAACCACCTCTGTTATAATCAACCCGAATTCACTGTTCTCATGCGATAGTAGGTAAGTATTTATCAATAACGATGAGAATAACGACTTGTCATATGCTGTCATGATGACTAGATTGTAATCATAATTGAAAATAGGTGCAGTTTCACAGAACTATGATGATTGAAATATATTGCTAGTGGTTGAAAAAAATGTAATATACACCTTGGTAGTAAAGAATATCATTACCACGGGACTTTATGCCCCTCGGCTGAAGCCTCGGGATATAATTTTGGTCCCTGGGTGATAATGATATTCTGTACTACCTTGGTGTATAAATAACATTTTCCACCGATTGTCCTCAAGAAATGTACTCCCGAACTAACACCTGTTCTCTGCGAGTTGATCAACTACTCTTACAAATTGGGGATATTCCCGTCCAACTGGAATATTGCAAGAGTACAACCAGTTCCTAAAAAAGGCAAAAAGACCCTACCTAGCAACTACACACCGATCGCACTGCTATCTATTATTTCAAAGATCATGGAGACAGCTATCAACATCGAGCTCATGAAATACCTGGAACATTCAGATATTATAAACGATAGGCAATATGGCTTCCGCCATCAGAGATCAACTGGTGACCTTACGTCTCACATATATGGCAACAATCTATTGAAAAATATGGTGAAACCTTAGCCGTGGCACTTTATATCTCAAAGGCATTCGATCCAGTCTGGCACCACGGACTCCTCGCCAAGCTTCCATCTTATAGCTTGCCTCTCCAGCTATGTTCTCTGCTAGCTAGTTTTCTCTCAAACAGGTCTCTCCGTGTAGTGGTCGACGGAGTTTCATCTGACTCTCTTATCATAAATGCCGGTGTTCCGCAAGGATCAATTCTAGCACCAACACTATTTCTACTCCATATCAACGATTTGTTGGAAGCAACTTCATGTCCAGTACACAGTTTCGCGGATGATAGTACCCTGCATACCGCCTTCTCGTCCAGGGCTCCAATACCAAACAGGCAAATCAGAAACGAACGAGTGAGAAAACATACATATGGACTTGACAACAGTTCTCGAATGGGGATCCAATAACTTGGTAGATTTCAATGCAAACAAAACACAAGCATGCCTTTTCTCTAGAAAAGCCGATCTCACTGTGCCCAACATAAGCTTGTCAGGAGTAACCATACCGTTGAAGACATCCATTTCGATGCTTGGTATAACTATCAGCAACAACCTTTCTTGGGAAAATCACGTGAGATCAATTGCTAAAAGTGCATCCCAAAAACTTGGTTTCCGGCCAGTAGCTATTTCACTTCCAGTCAGCTGCTTATGATCTATAAGGCACAGATCCGACCTGTCCTGGAATACTGTTCCCATATTTGGAATGCAGCACCCAAACATACCCTGAAACTGTTGGATTCTGTCCAAAAAAAGGGCAGTCCGTCTCGTGGGTGATGCCTCGCTCACAAACTCACTCACTTCTATGGAACACCGTAGAAAAGTTGGCGATCTGGCTCTATTTTATAGATATTTTCATGGATGATGCCCTTCTGAAATATCAACAATTGTTCCTCCCTTGGCAGTCCCCGCGAGATTAACCCGTCGAGTTGAGGCTTCGCACCACTTCGTGGTCTCTTTGGAGACTTGCAGAACATCTCTTTCCAAAGATTCGTTCATCCAACGAACAGCGAGGCTCTGGAACACACTGCCAAGGAAGGTGTTCTCCGAACCTCCAGAAATTTGAGAAAAACACCAATTCCTACCTTATTTTCCTTGGTTCTCACCATGTTCTCTGAACATTACAGGATATCCCTTTTCGTGGGAACCAGAATATATAAAAAAACTCCCTGCCGGACCCTGTACTATTATTGCGTCATAACTTACCCTGCGTTGAAAAACAGTAGGCCCCAGGCCACAGATTCGACCTCACGACCGCCATAGCGAAATTGTCGATGATGCCCGAGGAGCACCGCACGCTCCACGGCGGCACCGCCTCCACGGACGCATCCTCAGACAAGGGAGTCAACAAAGGAGGTCCCGTCTCCGGTTCCATCCTCTCCGCTTTGGGCTTCTCCTGCTCCTCCTGCTCTTCCTCCTCCCCTAACTCTTCGTCCATCTCCTCGTCGTTCACGTCCGGCATGGGACTCGGGTTCCACCAGTTGGTTCTACCTAGAGTGAGTAGATTAGAGTCCCTTGATGGAAATTGACGTAAGAGGAAGTTGTACTATGATATAAAGCAATAATGCAAGGGTTTCGTAGTCCCTAACTTTTCAGGGTCATTTTTCATTTTGAGTGGATCAAAAAAATTGTACATATTCGTGAAGATTTTATCTATGTTCCTGTCGTTTTACTTTTTCAAAATTCGATTCGGTTCTTAAAAAAAAATATTGGAAAATCATCAAAAAACACGTGATTTTGCGATTTTTTTTGGAAAAAACTGAATCAAATTTCGAAAAAGTGAGACGACAGGAACATAGATTAGATCTTCACAAATATGTACAGATTTTTTTCATCCACTCAAAATGAAAAATTAACCTTTTAGGGACTACGAAACCCTTGCATGGCAACACTTTGTATCCAGAGAGTGGCGCCGCCCTCAGAATCGATAGGAATTAACATTTATGAATGGAGATGAAATATACATTCCTTATTTGCAATGTTTACGAGGGTCTGGCATGTGTAAAAAATTTAAATTTCATAATTTCAGTGGGATATCAAATTATCATTATTTCATATCATTTCAGACTGCTCCAATATACCTAGAAATTAAAGAATATACGGCAATGTTACCACAGTTATGTTACGGTGAGGTTCTCACAATAAACGATAATATTTCTTGAGTTCCCGAAACATGGAATATTTTGAAAAATATAACGTTATAAACGTTTGTTTACGCGTACAATTTGAATTAGGATTACCTCGGGAATAATGACGGTCGAATCAGAAACAATTGTGGAAACGATAGAAAATCTACTGCCATCCAGTTCTAGGCATATCAAATAGTATATTATGTAACAAGTGTTATAAACGTCCTTTTAGTAACGAGTATTCTAAGCACGAGCGGAGCATAGCGGAGCGAGTGTTTATAAACGAGTGTCTAGAAGGGTTTATAAACGCGTTCCATACTATGCTTTTTCTACAAACTCCAAAAATTACATTAAGGTACAAGTAAACCCACCAAAAAAAAAACGGTATATTCAAAGAGCATGAAAAAAATCTGGGATGTTGAAAATGGCAATTTCAATCTATTCTGAGATTTTGAAAGAAATCTGTCGACTGGTTTTTTCGAAAAAAATTATAAACACCATTTTTTCGACTTTTCTCAAAAACTGATCGACAGATTTTCTTCAAAATCTTGAGAAAGTTTGATATTGCCATTTTGAATAATCCAGATTTTTTTCATAATTTTTGAATTCACAGATTTTTCACTATGATGAAAAACTTATAAAAACTTGTCATAATATCAACACCAGCGAAAAAGTTTGCTTTACTTTGATTGATTATACAATATTGAACATATGAGAACAATTAAAATCACTTTGCAGACGTGGAAAATATTTAATTATATTTTTAAACTCGACTTGTATGAATTCAGACAGAAATTCTCATAAATCTAGATAATGCTCCAGGACGTGGTGCCTCTGCTGGAAATAGTTATAATCATTTAGGATGTGATTTCAACATAAGATAGTATCGCTACTCGCCACTGGGGATCGCAACAAATGCATGTCGTTCTGGTGCTATTTAGATACAGTGTTGCCAACATTTCTAGAGAGAGATGACCGATATTGGTGAACCGATTTGTTTCTAGGAATTATTGTGCGACTATCTAGGCATTTGTAGTTTCAATTGTGGAATCTGGGAAAGTTATTTGGAAAATGGAGGGATAATAAATAATGTCTCGTTGAATATCTGAATTGATACGTAAAAATATACATACTTATTCGAATATTTGCACAATATGGACTTTCAAATGAACTGGATAGGTAGGTAATACCTCTAATTTACTGACTGTATGTATCTAAGTATTTACCTACTTGAAATTTGGCAGGTGTTTATAATTCCGCTGGCCATGCATTATGGAATTGTTGAAGAAAAAAAAACAAAATGGAGGATGGTGGACGAGTTTTGTAATTATGATCCGATTCTATTCAAAATTGGTATCGGGGGGTTTTCGTGATCGGAGATTACGATTTTCCTATCAAGATTGAGAAATTGAAGATGGCGTCTCCAATATGGCGGACGAGTTTTGTGTTTATGGTCGGATTTGATTGAAAATTAGTATATAAGGGTTTTTTGGATCGGAGATCACGATACATCTGTCAAAATTACAAAATTCAAGATGGCGGATTCAATATAGTGGACGAGTTTCTAAATTATAATCCGATTATTCTATTAAAAATTGGTATCTGGTGGTTTTCCGGGTCGGATATTATGATTCTCTTGTCAAAATTGAAGATTTCGAGATGGCGGCTCCAATATGGCGGACGAGTTTCTCAATTATGATCCGATTGTATTCAAAATTGGTATTCGGGGGTTTTCGAGGTCGGAGATTATGATTCTTGTGTCGAAATTGAAAAATTCAAGACGGCGGCTCCATTTATAGTGTACAAGCTTTGTGTGTTTATAGTCCGATTCGATTCAAAATTGGTATTTGGGGGTTTACGGGGTGGGATGAGATTATATAGTTCTTTTGTCAAAATTGACGAATTGAATATGGCGGATCCGATATGGTTTTTTGTTTATGGTCCGATTCGATTCATAACTGGTATCTGGGGGTGATCAGGGTCGGAGATTATGATTCTTTTGTTAAAATTGAAACATTCAAGATGACAGCTCCAAAATATCGGACTATGTTCCAACACAGTTTGAATGTGATGAAATGGCATTTAAAATCAACAAGATGGAAGAGTAGAAAATAAAATATAAAAAAAACTTTTTAAAAACCACGCTTAAAATCAAAAAAAGGGGAAAATAATTTGTTTCCTGATTATCAAAAAATGAAGAATATGAGTAAAAGCATGCGAGTGCCAAGAAACTATCATATCAGAATAATGATTTAGCGCTCCACTTTTACCCATACTTAATTTTCTAGATAACCAGGAAAAAAACATATTTTCCCTTTATTTAAAGCATTTAAATATAAGCGTGTTTTTGAAAAGTTTTATTTTATATTTCATTCAGTTCAATACAACGTGAAGATTAGAAGTCATAAGAATTACCAATCTACATAGTGAGTCAGATCTGGTATTCCGAAAAAATGAACCGAGTAAATATTCACGAAAATACCCAATCCAGGAATCCTACGAATGTATGTAGAGTTTATCACCACAAGAGTCTCTCCGTAATAACTTGAGCATGAAACGAGAATACCCGAACGTGGATATAGTGATGTGTCATATAATCTGTTGACTATATGTATTTGTTTTTGTTGCATATTATTAACAAAAAAACTTGCTGAAGCTATTCCATAACTAAACTTTCACCTGTCCATACATTTTCGACATTTTCTAGGTCGATTTTTGGTGATTTTTGATGGATAAATGAATAAAAAAAAATACTCCGTACAACGAACTATAACTTTAACTCAATTATGTCCTCAAGTACGTTATTATTATTTTTTTCCACTCAAAAAACGAAATAACCAAAAGAGGAAGGAAATGATAGAGACCAATCAGAGCAAATATGGTTGAAAAAAAAATAAAAAAAAAATTCTTCCATCGAAATTCGAACTCAGAACGTTCCAAGTGGAAAGCGGCTACATTACCACTGAGCCAACGGGCTGGAGAAAATATTGAATCTATTTAGGTCAAAAAATTGAAACATTTATATACAGGGTGTCCGAAAATACGGTTCGAATAATTTGGGGTGTTTCTACATGACAAAAAAGACTAAAGAGTTTGTCAAACTTTGATGAATATATCATTAAAACGAATAAATATTCAATTTCATTCAATTTTTACTAGTTTCTGTGAATAGAAATACCCATTTTTATTTCCAGAAGAAGAATTTATTTCCAAAAAATTATGTACTTAATAAATCCCATCATGGCTGAATTTTTTCCTCATTTCAAGAAACAGCACTGCTGAATTTTAACGAAATCGACCAAAGCATATTAGTGATTTGAGATCCGGAAAAAAATCAATATTTTATCATGTAGAATCCGAGGGGTAAATCTCCAGGAAAAATGTGTACACCAGACTTCCAATGACCAGAGACTTCCAAAGACTTCCAAAGACTTCCAAAGACTCCCAAAGATTCCCAAAGACTTTCAAAGACTCCCAAAGACTTCCAAATACATCCAAAGACTTCCAAAGACATCCAAAAACATCCAAAGACATCTAAAAACATCCAAAGACTTCCAAAGACATCCAAAGAATTCCAAAGACTTCCAAAGACTTCCAACGGAGTGTACACCAGACTTCCAAGGAGATTTACCCCTCGGTAGAATCATCCCTGAATTTTGTCGAAAGTTATTTCCGGACACCCTGTATATTATTATTCAGCCTACCGGCTCACTTCTAGGAATTGCAAAAAATGCTCGGGTGTGGCTGAACCACAGGCTGAACCACGCCGACTGACGATTTTTTGAGTGACCCGTCTTCTCGTTCTTTGAACCCTAATAGGTATTACCAGTAATTATTATCAACGTTCTTTCGTTCGATTGATCTGTGAACTGGATGTATAAGAAGGGCGGTAGTTAGGTCACAGTGTTAGGTATAGGAGGGTATAGGACATGACAGGTATATCTAAATCACTTGAAATTTTCACAATGTCTGTTGATAATTATTATTTTTGAATCATTACGACCCCAAAACCAGCATTTTCAGCAGTTTCTGTCTTTCTAATTTTTTTATATCTACCATATAGGTACGTATCTACAAGCTATAATTAAACTCACTTAGCAGCGAGCCTAGCAGCACATGAAATCTTTTTTTGAACCTGCTCATCCTCCGTATTTTTGTGTTCTCTGTAATAAAAGTTAATGAAGTAGGTACTTAACTAGTTAATATCGATATTGACAATGAAACATTTACCTTTTAAGATGCAAACCGCGTCGCGAATTCTTCACAAAGATTCGAGGCATTTTTCAAAAAATTCCAACACACTAAAATTGTTCTATTAAATATTCAAACCGTTATCCACTATATGATGATCACAAACACAAA